AATAACACTCCTAGTCAAGATTTCTGTCCAAAAGGACTGTTTCCTTCCAAACCCATATTCTATTGGATAGACCCCTTATTCTCTCAGATACGCAGGCACTTTCTTTTTTTTTTTTTTTTAAGATTTTATTTATTTATTTATTATTTGAGAGAGAGTGAGAGAGAGCATGAGCGAGGAGAAGGTCAGAGAGAGAAGCAGACTCCCCGTGGAGCCGGGAGTCCAATGCGGGACTTGATCCCAGGACTCCAGGATCATGACCTGAGCCGAAGGCAGTTGTCCAACCAATTGAGCCACCCAGGCATCCCCGCAGGCACTTTCTTATTTACAATCTCGAACTTTTTGATCTGTACTTACATTCTTTCATACATTTTACCATAATAGAATCACCAGCCCATACGTCTACAAAACACACTCCCCCAGCAACCTGCATCACACATACACCTCACACACATGTGTGCACCACACACACGCACACACCACACATGCACATACACACACTATACACATCATACAAACACAAGCACGCATACTAAGAAAAATAGAAACAACATATTTCATGATTGGATTTTGGTACTGTCATTTCTTGTGTAAATTCCCAGAATTTGGAGTGTTGCTCTTTTAAAGACCAAGTTCCCATGCCTTCTTCCTTCTCCAGCAATGTGTTTGCATGGAAAGTTATTCATAAGCTACACTTCACCAACCACACAGCAAGGCTCAGCTCTCCTTGGAGCAGCGCTGACAGGAAGCTTGTGATGCTCATGTTCCTGCACCTCTGAGTCCAGACAAAGCTCACGCTCAGCCTCCTGCAGACCCACACGTTTTCACTCATTCTTATACCCAGTTCACCAGACCCGCATCTGCCAGACCAATACTTAACACTCTCCACTCTTCTGCTTTTGGTAAAACAGAAGCCTAATGTTCTCTTCTTTTCTTTCTGACCTTCCCTTATCTATATGTAAAAACACTTCCTGAAGCCACAGAAAGCCTCCTGTACAGTGTCTCCGTTATTTAGATTCTGGGTTCTGGGAACACATCCAGAGTTCAGAAGGTGGCCGCTTTTTTCAAGAAAAAAAAAAATGGGATGTTTAGCCAAGATTGCAAAGCAGCAGTGTCTGGCCCAAAGTAAGCATGGGCTGTCATACTTCTTTCTAGAGATCACATTTGATATCATCTGTATCAGCCTTTACAGTCAGACCACACAGTAGAGAAGAGAACAGAAAGATGCATCCAAGCTAACAGGAGTAGCCCAGGCACACACCCAGACACCGGCACACTTAGTCCCATTCTTTAGGTCTGGGCGGTGGGTCCTTCTCACATGTGTGACCCAGACCTTTGCAGACAACAGTTACTTTGACCATGCTTAACCCAGGTGTATAATTGCATATCTCTTCAAATATTTTGCCATTCATTTGATGGAGCATCTGTGCAAGTCTGTCTTGACTCTCACCAGGGCTTCTACATGGGAATCGTTCCAGAAAATGAGTAACAGTCTCAGTGCATGGCTCCTGCAGACTGAGCCCTGAGTGTTCACCCCCCACCACCTTCCATCCAAATTCTGGGTCAGGCCACACCCTTCAAACAGCCATTGCTCACCTTATCATGGGATTGGGCCACAGAAAGAAGAACAGTTGTGCTGACAGACAGCCAGAAAGTCTGCAGAAAGGGCTGACACACCAAACAAAAAAATATGTAGAGGGGAAAGCAAGAGATTGTGGACAGATCAATTCCCTGCTCGTTTATTATTTCTGGCCAATGTTCAATGTGGGGAAAAGGTAAATAGAGAGGACCTGAGGGACCCTGGCATCCTCTCACTCTCAAGGGAAGAGCATCAAGATGTTATGTGTGCCCAAGCCTGGGAGTTGATACTGCCTCTGGGTGTTTATTTTTATTTTGCATTGCTCATGAGCTGGTATGCCTGTGGGAATAGGGCTGTGCACTTGCCCACCTGTCACACCTAGGGTTCCAGCTCATGCCCTCACTCCTCTGACAAAAGGCTTGGACAAAGCACCTACTATCTGTTAGGAGGTGATAATATAGTACCAACCTCTTGAGATTAGAGAAGGGTTAACAAACCAGGTAGACCAGTACTTGAGAAAATGTCTAACACAGTGGAGACTCATCACACATTTCTTAGGATGATCACATGGCCCATGCCAGGTGTTCTCCTGCTTTTTAAAGTGGGGCCCTGGCATTGGCCTTCATGGGCTCTACAGTGGATCTTTTCTTACCCTGGGAGACGAGTATATATATAGCTGTGAGCATGAACACTAGAAAACAGGAAAGTTGGTTGTTGGTGTCTCTACTGGGATAGGAGTGGAACAGATCCTGGAGGCTCTTTCCTTTGATGGCCTAAGTCAGTATGTTCCTCTTGGCGATCCAGTGGCTGCTGCTTTGCAATCTTGGCTAAACACCCATTTTTTCTTGAAATCCATCAGGTCCCAAACTGCATCTACCACCCACCCCTGGACCTGCACTCGGTGCTCCTAGGCTCAGCAAATGTCACCTCACTACTCAGGAGGATTAGAGGGTCTTTGTGTTCCCTCTCAACATCTCCTCAAGTGAGATCCTTCTCTGTCTCATTGTCTAGTTACCTTCACTTCTTACCTACATCACTCTATGGCTTTCTAAAGGATCAATTTATTTCCCTTGTGTCTCCCTCCTGCAATTTCCTGTCTGCACATTGCTCCTCTTACCCTGTGAGTCTGATCATGTCTGCCCTTTCTTAAATCCCATTTTGTCCTCGCTCTGAGTCCAGACACCTGCTTCTTTCTTTAGTTTTTTTTATCTTCATCCCCATCTTTGTCATGTTTTCCTTAATGGACACAGCCCAAATGAAAACTAATATCACTTTTATTGATAAAACCAATATGAATAATAAAGTACCTTCCTGTGGGAAGTCCCTTAGATGTGCCGCTGACACTGTTAGGAGCTTGGAGGCCCAGGTCTCAGTGTGTACCTGAGAGGCTCTTATCCCCCAAGTCAGCTCCCAGACTGATGTGGTTTGGAGTGGTGTTGGGTTCTGGAGCTGATGGTCAAGAAAGAATTCTTGAGATGTTTTCTACGCAAAAAGGTGGTTTTATTAAAGCATAGGGAAAGGATTTGTGGGCAGAAAAAGCTTCTGATGGCCCAGGATTGTGAGGAGCAGCAGATTATATACCTTGGAGTAGGGGGATGTAGGATAAGGGAAGTTCCAAAAGGATTTTCATATGCTGAAAAAGACCCACAGGATACCAGATGCCTTGCTATTGCCAAACTAAGGTTGTTTTTCCCTCTAGCAAAGCATTAACATCAAGACAGTTGGGAACCTCCTGGGGGGAATCAGTACACTCTGCCTGCCTCAAGTATTTGTCAAAGGGATGCAGGCAGGTTATAACTGAATCTACGTTTCCTTCTACCTTTGTTTCTCGCTTCAGTTCACCTTCCTTCCCACCTCCACTTGATTGGCTTCTTCTCATGATTCCCAGTTGTTGGAGCAAATACCATTTTTGGCCATTATTGAAAGGAAATTTAAGATGTTTTACTGCTCTATACTGGGAAGAGGGACATAAGAGTCACGTAAAACTACATCCTGTAAGAATATGATTAACTACTGGTACCTTCTCTCTATGAGTTATCTGATGATAGCCCCTTCTGTTCTTCATGGCAGGAGTGGTTGTACTTCTCTGAACATCTCGTTGTCATCTAATTTATATACACTATGAATTATGAAACCAAATCATTCTTATCTCTCACACAGACTACAGCTTAAGTCTTCACCCTTGTGCAATAAGAATACAGAATTCATAATAGAGGGGAAAGTATGTTAATCATTTTCTTATTTAAAAAAAATATTTATCACTGTTTTTTTCCTGCCTCCACTTTGTATTCTATTTATGCTTCATGGCATTTTTTATGGTGTTTAAAATACATCAAATAATTTTGGAGAAAAATATATATGCTTTTTGTCACACAGGAAAAGAACATACAGTCAAGCCGTAGTCTCTGAGTCCACAAAAACAATCTTTCTTATTAGAATTCTATGTTGAGAGTTACTGTAGAATGGTGGATCTAATCCCATGTGAGTGGGGTGGGAAAACAGTAGAAGTAGAGAGATCATGTAGAACTCTGGTGTTTCCATTCAGGGGAAAATGAGGAATGTTGAGATGAGTGTGGGGAGAGAGGAGATGCTCACACTCAGTGGGAACTCCAAGAGGTTGTATAGAAAGAAGCAATAGCCTTTGAGGGCATCTTAGAGCTGCGAGAAAACCAGTCAGCAACTATTGTCGACACCTGACAAACACCAAAAATAGGTAGACTTTGACGAATGCAGTGACTGAGTGACTCCCTCTGACCCAATTATAACCATGCTAAGTTTGAAGAGAGAATGAATCATACAAACAAAGATACATGGTTAGCAGTAGCTGACATCTCTTTGAAGATATGAAGAGGAAGAAGAGACTTGCACCCTCAGTTCTTCCAAATGCCCAGGTTTCAATCCCACATCTTAATCTGTACCTATTTCTCCTTCTAATTGACCACAGGAAGTTAGGATTATCTTTATGTTTAATTCTTAGGGGACTCTGGACACTCACATCTCATTTGGCTTTCTCAAGATTGAGTGAAAAATGAGCATTAGGTTCTTGATTGTCTTCATCCTTTGTCCAAAGTAAATGCCTGCTGTCTTACGTTTCATGATTATTTGCCATTCATTTATATTATAAACATTCCTTATGCACCTATGACATGCCGTGACCCTTGTTCGATGTTGTCTAGAAATGAATTGGAGTAACCAAATATACTCATATATACTATTTTCTATACTCAGATTTTTTTTTTTTTTTGCAATGGAAATACCTGATTAGATTCTCTGCCTGAAATAACAAAGAAGGAGAACCATAGCTCTGATTAATAAGGAACTTTTTCATCTGTCCCTTTTCTGGACCCTTGGCCACGGATTCATTCTCTGACCTAATATACACTAAGAACTTGCCCCTACCCACTCAAACTTTAGAACTTTATCACTAGCAACCCTGGGGAAAGAGCAAAAGAATGACTTTGTCCCAGATTTGCTTGGTCTTTACTCCATAGACAATAGGATTGAATGCAGGTGGGATGACTACACAGAGGTTGGCAAAGAGGATGTGAAAGGTACAAGGGACATTATGCCCAAAGCGATGGGCAAGGATGGAGAAGAATGCTGGTATATAGAACATGAGGATGACACAGACATGGGAACCAGAGGTGCCAAGGGCCTTCTGGCGGGCGTCCCGGGAGGGGAGACGGAAGACTGCACAGGGGATGAGGGTGTAGGAGACAGCAATGAGAATCACATCTGAGATGACCGTCATGATGGGAACACCAAAGCCATACCAGATGTTGATGGAGATGTCCGCACAGGCGAGCCGAGCAACATCTATGTGCTCACAGTATGTGTATGGGATGATGTGTGCTACAGAACAGTAAACGATTTACAAGGAAAACACATGGAACAAAAACACAGAAATTTCTGAAGGAAATTCCCACAACAATTTTGATAATCAACTTGGGGGTCAGAATAGTGGTGTATCTCAGGGGGAAGCAGATGGCCATGTAGCAATCAAATGCCATGGCCAGGAGTATAGCTGAGTCCAAGACAAAGCTGTAGTGCAGAAAGAATAACTGGGTGAGACAACTAGGAAAACCGATTTTCTGGGGACCAAGCCAGAAGATGGTAAGGGTTTGGGGGACACATGTGGTAGACAATATCAGGTCTGTCATGGCTAGCATGGAAAGGAAAAAGAACATGGGTGCATGAAGACTCCGCTCCACAGCAATGAGGTAGAGAAGGATATTGTTGCCCAAAATGGCCACGAGATAGATAAAACAGAAGGGGATGTTGATCCAGGCATGGTACTGCTCAAGGCCAGGGATGCCCGAAAGGGTGAAGTCTTCTGTGTGGTAGTTACTCAGGTTGTACATGGCCAGTGTGGTCTGAAGAATAGCTTCTGTATCTGAAAAACAAATTGTGTATAATGAACCTGAGTAAATTGTATGGTAATTCTTCCTCCACCCTCTCCTTTGGGCCAACTCTCCTCCCTCCTGTCTGCTAAGAGTGAACCTCCTAGTGTTAGTAAAAGCTATGCTCATTTCTTCAAGAAAGATTCCCTAGACACAATATTCTGGTAGTAGTCACTCAGTGTTTCTGGAATTTTCTTCATACTGTTCAAAATGTTATTTCCATTTTAGAGATAAGTGTCCCTTGGATCAATGTAATTCCTTGCTATACTGATGTGAGTAGAGAAAACCACAATCTAACCATATACAGAGAAAGAAACTAAGAAAAGTGGGGTACGATGGGAAAATAAGGAGATAATTAACCATGACAGACTCCTACTGGAGGCTAGGCTTTACACAGTATCATCTCACTTAGAATAACTTTCTTAGATAAGTATTTTCATCCTCCTCACTTATTTCTTATTGTTTTGCTATAGAATCTAACACTGTGACATAACCTTACCCGAGATCTCATCTTGCATAACAGACACAGCCAAGATCATTCCAGTCCATAGCTAATCTTCCTTTAAGCTGTCATGCCATGCCAGGTGATTTCTCGGGGGACGACACACTGTTAGATGCCAAGCACTGAGAAGAGACCTGGGATATAGGGGAGTCAGTATGGAAAACCTAACTCTCAAACAGCAGTGTGTCCAGCACACTAACATACGTGGGATTTGCAGACCAGAATGTTCTTTGAGATTGATGTTTGGTGCCTCACCATGGAGAACAATATGGAAAATGGATATGCCACTCAGCCTACAGCCCCCTCTTAGCACTGAATGAGGAATATTAAAGTGCGCCCTTGATTATTCCAGGGGGACCTCTAGCGGAAGAAAAATGGAATTGATGCATTCTAAACCCCAGGCCAAGTTAAAAGGAAACGAGCAACCCCTAAAACAAAACTAATATTTTTGGAAACCTTCAGTACACTATACAAGTCTAAAACTTTTTAAATGAAATCACTTCTATAATCCTCTTAAAAACCCTACAAGACAGGTAATAACGTTGTTTACATTTCGAAGATACAGAAACGGAGGCCCAGAGAAGTTAAGTGACCTGCCAAAGGCCACATGACAAGCAAATGTTAGAGCTGGGAATAAAGCCTGGGGATTATGTTCATAGACTCTCGTGTGATAAAGGAAATTCTCTACAGAGTGTATGGCAAATGGCAGATACATGGTATCTGTAGAGCAAAAGATATAAAATTAAGTCACATGAAGAAAACACAGACAAATCCCTTATGAACCTACAGACAAATGCTGTGTGTGCAATCTACAACCACAAACGCAATGACAACACGAACACATGGGATGCAGATGCAGAGAACAAGTTGGTGATCAACAGAGGTGGAGGAGGGGGTTAGTGAAATGGGTAAAGTTGGTCAAATGCACAAAATTCCAGTTATAAAATAAATAAATGAGTCCTGGGAATGGAATTACAGCATGGTGACTCAGGTTAATAATAATATATTCTGTTTTTGAAACTTGCTAAAAGAATAGGTCTTCAAAATTCTCAACACACAAAAAAATTGCAACTATGCATAGTGATACGTATAACTAGACATACTATGGTAATCATTTCACAACAGGTTTAACATCCTTGTCAGACGCCTACCCCAAACTTTTCCCTCGAAGTATGATAACATCATCTTTTTTAAAAAGATTATTTATTTATTTATTTGACAGAGAAAGAGAGAGAGATCACTAGTAGGCAGAGAGGCAGACAGAGAGAAAAGGGGAAGCAGGCTCCCTGCTGAGCAGAGAGCCCAATGCAGGGCTCGATCCCAGGACCCTGAGATCATGACCTGAGTCAAAGGCAGAGGCTTAACCCACTGAGCCACCCAGATGCCCCTGATAACACCATCTTGAATAGCTTCATTTTGTTCCTGAAAGGTCAGGTACCCAATTCTAGGACTCTGTCTTGAAGAACTGTAACTTAGAATTCTCTGGCCTCATTAATCGCACATTTACACATGCTAACTGTGTATCTGTTCAGGGTTCAGTGATTACTAATTTGTTCTTCAGCAACCTTGAGCTCTCCAGGGTATTGACTTTTTCACTACTTTTCATTCACTATCCTGGTGTCATTGCATTCCTCTTTTCTAGGTTAAATGCTGATTCATCATGTCAACCACTCTCTTATGCATATTTTGCTTGTCCTTGCTCCACTGACCTCCCATAATGTATGTTTGCAAAACTCAACTCCTAGATTCACCAACCTAATAAGTCCTTCAGATCAAGATGGAAGGCACTTAACTAGGTATATTTGTGTTTCCATAATTTCATGATCATTAATCTTAAGCTTAACCACAATACTGCCCAATGACTTAACAGCATGATCTTTTCAGCTCAGTGTCCCTGGATAACTTTTTTCTTGCTTTTCTCCAAGCATATCCACCAACCCCAACTCCCTTTTTCTCAATAGATAATCTTTCATTTTACTTAACACAAAAATTTGAAGACATTGGATATGAAATCATGTAACAGTCATCACGTCTACATGTATATGTATATACACATAGACACACACATTTATATATGTACTCTGCTTTTTTTTTTTTTCTTGTTATAATTGGGAAAAATATCTCTTTTGTATCCTGGCCCCAAAAACCAACCCATTCTCTCTCAAATCTTCCCAATATTCATTACCATTCATTCACATTCTTGTCTTTGTCTTCAATCTATGCTTTTAAATTTTGTACTCTTTCAACATTTAAACAATTAGAATGGCTAGAGTATTTTCTAGTCTGAATTACACAGAAACAATTATATTCTCTCATCATAGCTAGATACATAGCTCTCTACACCACGTACATGCTTCTCATGTGCTACTTACACTTTAACCCATGCTAATCTCATTTCTGTCCTCACCTTTCCACCAAAGCAGTTTTTGCTAACATTATTAATCAAGTCCATGTCCCATCTGAGTCCTTGCTGAACTTTTAACCAGCATCTGACATTATTCACTACGTTCCACCCCCCATCTTGAAACATCCTGTCAAAGTCTTATCACAACGCTTTGGGTTTTTCTTCAACCTCACTAACATCTCATATCATCTTTCACCTGTCCTTCCTATTCTATGTATCTTACGGCCCAGGGTTCCTCAAGGCTCTGCTTGAAGCCCCCTATTCTTCTCTTCACACTTTTTTTGATTTAAATCATCAACACCTAAGATCCCAATTAATAGCTATATGTGACACCTCCCAGTGTTTTACATCTCCCTTACAGCTTACAAGACACATATTTTCAACTCCTTTCTGGATATCCTCTTATGGATCTCAAATGTAATTTTTCAACAATAAAACCAAATCAACAAAATAAAAAAATAAAATCAACTCCCAACAATAAAATCAAACTCCCTCACATATCATCACTAAACTTTTGATCCATACTGCGTCCAATAATTCAAGGAATATAAGTATCATGGACTCAATAGAGGTACACAGCTAAAGCTTCTCATCTTCCCAGTCCAGGACTGTTTCCTCTCCTGGAAGTCCTGCCTTGTTTCTCACTCAACAGCAACTTTCTTCTGGGCAGGAAAAGCTATTCTGCCACGCACACAGGTCATCTGACCTGGGTTTCCAGTCCCACTCTGAGGTGGGGGGGTCCTCCTTCTGATTCCATTGACACATACACACTTTTTTCCTGGCCTGAGTCACAGGGGGCCGTAAGGGCGCACAGACCTGCATGATCCAGCCACAGACTGAGACTCACCTCCCTCCATCTGCCGCCTCCTCCACAGGTTCCAAGCCAGAGCCCATTCCTCCCTCTCCCTGCCCTCTTGATTCTTCTCATAGTGCTTCGTTCTCCTCAGAGGGGCTCACAGACTGTGTCCTGCCTAAGGGGCTTGAGGGACAAGTATTCCCTCCAGGGATGAGCAGAACAAGGAACATTAAATGCAACTGGAAGCAGTGACACAGAAAGAAGGCAGAGAGGGGGAGTCAAGAACTGAACTGAACTCTGGCAGCAAGTGTTCAGTCCCAGTTCTGTAATACGATTTGGAGCGAATCGAATGAGCCCTTTGGCCCTTGGTTTAATCAGAATTCATGATCCCCATGCTCACTGTAGAGGAGGTGGGAGTGAGAGGGAAGCCAGGAACAATGTTCTAGTTTTCCTTGTTTCCATGTACTACCCCTCAGCATAATGGTTAGGCTCTAGAGCAGGCTCTGAGGCCACATTAACTAGGTTCAGACCCTCATTCTGCCACATACAAGCTGTGGGACTTTGCATAGGAGTCTCAGCTCCTCTATGCCTTTATTTCCTTTACCTAAATTGGGGAAAAGGAATATTGTGAGGATAAATGAATGAAAAAAATCTTGTAAGGATAAATAAAATAACATATGTAAAGTAATTCTGGAACTTCTGGACAAGATGGTAGAGTAGGAAGATTCTGAGTTCACCTCGTACAGCCATAGCCCCAGATACACCCATATCAGTTTAACCAACCCAGAAAATGACTTAAAGTCATGTGGAACAGGCTCTCCACAGCAATTGTTAAGAGGAGGCCACTTCAAAGGCCTTTTTTGATCTAAAGTATATGACTTGAAATAGGAAATGATTTTTTCATCAAAAAACACTATGAAAAATGAATAATGAATAAATCAATTCTGCCTAAAACACAGCCAATACCCAAAGCATATTAAGTAGAATTGTTCTTGTTATTATAATTTTAACGTTTGTGTTATTCCTGAAACTAGTCCTATTGAGACCTTTTGATTTCATCCTTAGTTCTCGTCTCATAATGTGATCAATCATCCTGTAATATATCTTAAAAAAAAAAAAGAAACAGATGAGATAGAAACTTAAACTAATGATATTTGAAAGCAGAATGGTCTTGAGTTTGGGAAAACCAAATGGCTAAAAGTAAGGCTGAAAGGTTTAAATTAGATCCGATTAGATCAAACTAGGAACTTTCTCTGCCA